ATTCAAATAATCGGATTTTGTTTATTAATCATAAAGCACATGATTAATAATAAGCAATATAGTGGTGCGTTTTTTTTTTGGAAGCCACTGTATATACTAAGAGATTTGATTAAAAAATTTTAATTAAATAATAAAATATTATTAACTAAAAATTCAGGGGTCCCATCACTAAGTGTAACAATTATTTTAACATGAAAAATGATCTGCGTACGTTCATATATCTGGGATTGGATTCGATCGTTTCTCGAGTTTCGATTCTAGATTCGATTTTATTTATGGTGCAGCGATTTATTTTTGATCAAATTTTAAAACGCAGACATTCATCAAAAAAAAAAATGGTTAGCCACACTTTCGGCGCCACAAAATCACGTTACGGATCATATGATTTACTTTGATAATATTTTCGACCCCCGTTTGACAAAAATACTTTGATCTACACTATAAATCTAACGCGACGCGTCTTTTCTGATTATTTTTCGTCGTAACTTTTCTTTTTAATAATAATTTTTTTTTTCTAATATTATACTTCTTAACTAACTCATCCGAGAATTTTGTGAAAATATTCCTTATGAAATATGGAAAGAAGGATAAGGTTCGTCTTGCACTTTTTTTTTTTTTTTTGAAGCTCCTTACAAGAGATTTGTGAACTACTAGAAAGGAAAAAAGGTAAATTTGATGAGTATAAATTTTGACAGATGGGGCATTGCCAGGTTCTTGTACCTGTTGACTGCGTGTCAGTGGGGGTGGGGTACTTACCCTTATGAGTTCCGAAGGTGGATGCGTTTTTTAAGTGCGTCCTTATTAAGCTTCATGGGATCTATCTATATAAATTTGATAAGGGTCTACTGATTCGAAGAAGGAACCAGGATATGTATCTTCCTTTATTATAAAATAAATTTATATTAATATATCCTTGCGTCCAGCCATCTTCTTAATTTTTACTTGTTTGTTTATTGTAATTTATTCTCAACGAGCCCTTGCTTTTTGTAGATCTATAGGTATTTGAGATAGGTAGGCCTGAAAATATATTGATAAAGAAAAGAAAGAAGCGACTAACCGAATAAAGTGGGCACCAAGAAATGTTGGAGATGTTACGTCATAACTTGTTTCAACATTATATAAGTATGGTTTTCATCGTTAATATGGTTTTTACGTTTCTGACAAGGTAATAATTTAATAATTATTTTTTTATTTTCTTCCGTTTCTTTCTTTTTTTTTCTTGTCTAACATTTTAAATCACTGAAAATGTCTCGATTAGAAAATCGTAATATTTCTTGCGCAAATAACGTTATATATAAGATTGATGCGTTGATGCAAATTTCAAAACAACGTATTTATTTAAATCAATTTTGAACGTTGATTACGGATGATACTTTTCTTTTGTAAGCAATGTATAATACTTGTGGTATGTCAAAAATTCGAGTTTTAAACTAATTTAATTATATTATAATTTATAGAAGGTCAAATCCGAAATATTTATTTTTTGTTACAAATGAAATTTATGATTTAATTAATATTTCGTGACGGCGTGCCGTGCTTATGATTCAAATTTTTTGTAATTAACAATCTAATAAAAATATACTCTCTTAGCTTCTAAAAATTTATAGTTATTGGTTTACCACCAACTTGGAATTCCTTCCATTTACGTATTCTCTTGTACGAGAATAAAGATGGCAATCCGTAGTGATGTACATTTTTAATGCACCAGAGATTTGCTGTCCCAAATATATATCCCAGCTATATGTCACACCTGGCGATCCCGTGTTGAGAATTTTCTTGACAAATCATTGCTAATAATTATAGGTGGTATGTTGTTTCGTTTGAGAATTGAGACCTAAGATATTCTATGAAGGACTCTACAATCCAAGTAAATATTTATAATTGATTTCACGAGTTTAAATGTGATTACATATAAATGAACATAGATGCAGATTACGAAGTATCATGTTAATTAAAGTTAATCCTTTAATGATAAGTAAATTATTGTTTTGGATGCAGGTACCTTAGTAAATAAGATTTTATTTTTAAAACGTAATAATATTCATTTCATTTCATTATAATAGTTTTTACTTTTAAATAAGTAAACTTAAGTTCGGTTATTTTTATTTTTTATTTGAACTTCAAAAGTTTGGTTTAACACAAAAACTCGATCTCGTATTACGAAGAGCAATTCGATAAAAATGATAATGGTCTTAAACTGACTTTAATCCTAAAATTATAAGAACTATCAATAGCGAGATTTTGAATATTCTTAGAAATAATAGCCCTGTTCAAAATCGTTCGGTCGCATTTTTCGGTCGGTTGTGGTTTAATTTGATTGGCCGGATCTGCTTGTATTTGTTTGCGCGACCGATCTTTTAGACCAATATTTTTTTAGGTTTTTTGGGTCGAACTTTTTCTACCAATAAGATTGCTTTATTGCTGACCGATCGAAAAATGCGACCGAACGATTTTGAACAGGGCTAATGTGACCAACAGAATCGTCTCTTTGTTTTAAACGGATCCAAAATTTATAATAAAATTTTTAATCAATAAATATTATATATGCGGCATGTCTTCATAGTCGATGTTTATCTGATTTATTTTATATAAAAATGCCACATTTAATGTTAAGTTATATTTATCTTTATTTTAATTTGACTCTTAAAGAACCAATATTAGAAAAAAATTGTTTTTTAAGAAATTGTTATTTCCTTCATTTAATTCTTTTCAGCGGTTTTAAGCAGGTATTTAATTTTAACATCGATTTTATCGATAAAAATTTTAATTTTAATTTACATTCTCAATGTTTGGTTTGGATTCTATTTCTTCATTCTTTCTTAACAAGTTTGATCATACAATATAATGAATTACAGATGTTGATGTAAAATATGACAAATGTATTAAGAAAGTAATGAATCATATGTATTCATCATTGGAAAATAGAAAAGTTTTTTTGATGGCACCTTGTTGGAAGTTTATATGTAGTGTATTTCTTAATAGCTTGATTATTCCATACGTAGTGAAGGATTACTATGTTATTCAGAGTTAATATGACAATCACATGCGCTTACGCGCTGTAATAACATGACGATATAAATTTCAAAAAGAAGGATTTTATTATTATTAATTAACAGAATTTTTTTGAACGTAAAGTAAAAAGGTTTAATAAACTAGTAACATGAAAATTTTTACTCTAACTCATTATCGATTCTTTTAATTTCAAATTTCCTAATAGTACCCAACTCCTTATATTTTTCAATCATATGTAAGATCTCTTCTTTAAATACTAAACTAAATTCATCAAAAATAACAACCAAAGATAATGATTTTTGTGGTGTCCGATTCTTCCAACTTATAAGGGATGTTTCCAATTCACTTGGAAGTAGTGTTATGTTCATGTATATCTTTAGCTCGTAAAAATTTTTGGGTGCGTGATTTACAACAATTTCCAATAAATTTCTTCCATTTAAATGATTATGGTCATCTTGACACCAAATCTTAATACCTTCCAAACCTTGACAATGTTCAAATATAGATTTCAACGTGTCTAATTCATCATTTCCAAAATTTATGGAAAGTTTCTTAAGGTTCGGACAGAATCGAACTAATGATTTATTTAATGATTTGTCAGAATAAATTACGCTTGTACTGAATTCTTCAAAGTTCATTCCATTATTTTCCAAAAATTTCATTAACATTTCAGGTTTTGGAACTTCATGAGGAATTTTGAAGATTCGTAACTTTGTAAAGCTAGCATACTTCAATCCATTGAATCCATCAAATGGAACTCGAATGGAAATGATCAGTTCTTGTAAATTTATGAAAGATGAAACAAATGATAATGGTACATCGTTATTACTATGAATACATAATTTGGTCAACGTGTTATCATGCTTTGTTAATGCTGGTATGATATTAAACCAATCCACATTAATCAGGTACGCATTTAATTCTAAATGATTTAATTGATGCTGTGAATTAATTAATTGAATCAACCTATTTGAAACCTTTTCGATGAACTTTATATTTAATGATTGGATATTCTGAAAGGTTTGAGGTATTAATGAATTTGAACTACATTTCAAATTTGACAAATCTGCTAAACAGCTTGTTGCCCCTGGAAAATTTGAAAAGGGTATATTTTGAACTATTCTTGTCGAAAAATCGCAACAAATATCCAAAGACTTTAGAGATGGGATATCTTTCATAAAAGACTTTAGTAATTCCTGAGCTATCAAATGTTTGCTATAATCTAAGCTTTGTAATGTATTAATTCGTTGATTTACCACGACATCTTCAATAAGTTGATCAATCCTGAATAAGGAAAGGACCTTAATAAATGGGATATAATTAAAGAATGGCGTGGGCGCCGGAAGATTTACTCCATTTATCTGTAAAAAGCATCTCGATACAGTAGGGAGACAAGCGATCAAGGTACTTAGGATCGATAATGAATTTCGTATGTAGTTCATCCCATAACGATTATAAAATCTCCAAATATCTCTCCATAAGATTCTGACTACAATTCCACAAAAATGATGATTGGTCAATAAGATTGAATGCAAAGTGACGATATCATCTTCTAAATGTTCAAAGATTTCATTTAAACAAACAGCGGAAAGTTTATGTGCCATTTCTTTCGAATTTTTTGATTTAATTATTTTTTTTATATTAAATGGATGAGGTGGAACCGTTTGTAAATTTCTATCTATACTTTTATTTGTTAATATCAAAAATTTTCTGTTGTGGAAAATTGAAATTATTTGTACTTCTGTAAATCTCCATAGAATTCTACCATGGAAATTTTACCTTATGAAAATATGCAGGCTGATCCTTCAATTCCTGAATTTAAAGTTTAAACACCAAATTTTTAGACGACAAAATTGGAAATGTTTACTGCGGATCACTAAAATTATCGAAAATTTTTTCATAAAAAATGATAATGTATGGTATAGACTATTATACATTATGAAAAAGTAATTTATCCTGCAGAAATCAGATTATTATGAAAATTAGTTAACCTGACATTGGTTTTCTAATAATATAGATTGTATATTATTTTCAAAGTAATTGTATTTACAAAATAAATAAATAAATACTTTATAAGTAACTATTTTTTTTAAAAAAAATATAGAATTTACTTAATATATACATATTAAAGCAAAACATATCAAATATAAATATATTGTAATGTAATTTGCTATTTAAAATAAATTGTAATATTTAATTTTAATGTATATAAAAAAAAATTATTTATTAAATAATATAAAAAGAAAATATTAAAGTAGGATTAAAATCTTTATTATTAATAATTTGAAAACAGTATATATATAAGAAACTACCAAAATATATTTTTATTTTATAAGAAATATATTATTTTTTAGTAAAATAAATTTTGATTTAACATTAACTTTAAATAATTTTTTTGATAGTTTTTTTTTTCCTTTTTGCTACAAAACACCTATATAAAATTTATTAATATTTGTTTAAACATTAATGATCTTAATATTATAATTATATTAAAAAAATAATTTATAAAAATAAATATTAATAAAGAAGTTTTTAAATTTAATTAAGTAATTTATTAATCAATTAAAATTTTTATATTTAATTAAAATTAAAAAATTTATAATTATCATTTGTTTGCTTATTTACTATAAATTCCCTTTTGATTTATTTCTATGAAAAATTAAAATTTTTTTAAAAATTTTTTTATTATATTATATCATAGTAATTTTTAGTTTTAATTAAATAATAAATAATTTTAAGTGATTC